GGGGGGGGGGGGGGCACCGGTGTGTGTGTGTGTGCAAAGTCTCTGAGGTGGGAATGAGTTTGGTGTGCACAAGGCACAAAGACAGCCACCCCAGCTGCATCAGAGCGAGTAGGGGGAGGGCAGGTGGCAGCCATTGCTTCGGGAAGTTTGTCCTGAGCACCTGCTATGAGAACACAGTGGGAGCTTCCATTCTAAGGTGGGAATAGGCAGACATCCAATTCAAGTATAACAAGAGAAATGCTATGGAGAAAAATCGATAAGATGAGGGGACAGAGAACCAGTGGCACTGGGAGGCTATCTCCAGGTAGAGTAGTTGGCGGCATCCTTTCTGGGCAGACGACCCGAAGTGGGAATGAGCCACACAGATTAGGAAGAGCATCCTCCAGGCACAAGGATTAGCAAGTGGAAAGGCCCTGGGGTCACTGATCAGCAAACATTATTTGAGCATCTCTACCAGCCAGACTCTGTTCTGGGCAGTGGGGACAGGGAAGTGGACAAGACCGACGAGGCCCCTCACCGGTCTTGGTCCAAAGTGGCTGAGGGTGCTTGGGGAGCTAGTGAACAAGATGGGCTCGGGGGACCAAGCCCAATGTGTGGACTTGGCTATTGCTGTTGTCATTACCTCTGTCAGACAACTTAAGGGCACAGACCTATCTGTGTCTTCTCTGCCAAGGCTGTGGGCAGCTCTGGGCTCACTTCCCTGGCTTCCCATGTCCCACAGTCAAGAAGAGCCAAAAGGGCCTCTGAGGCCACCTCATCCCCCTCCCAGTGTCCAGACAGGAAAGCTGAGGCCCAGAGCAGGGAGGAGTCCTGGCTAAGATCACTCATGACGCCCAGACAAGCTCTGACCAAGACCCCTGCTCCCTGCCAGGCCCTCATCGGTGTCCCTCCCCTGTCTGTCTACTAGCGTGCCCCCCCGTGCTCAGTCATGACCGTCACCTACTCAAGCCAAGTGGCTAATGCCCGCTTAGGCTCCTTCTCCCGTCTGCTCCTGTGTTGGCGCGGCAGCATCTACAAGCTGATCTATGGCGAGTTCCTCATCTTCTTGCTCAGCTACTACATCATCCGTTTCATCTACAGGTGCAGGGGGACAGGCTGGGGTGGGGCCTGGGAGGGGCGCAGCTGGGGCTTGGAACAACTAGGGGGACGCTCTTACAGGACCAGAGTCCTATAAGGCTGACCTGAGCTCCTAGCCAAGCCCTGGGGGCTGGGGGCTGGGGGCTGGGGGTTGGGAGGACATAAAAGGAGTCAGACTGGGAGGGCAGCTCACGGCAGGCCAGGAGTATCTTTCTCCCAACTCAGGGACAGGCCCGGGAACCCAGGCCTTACCTGGTCCCACTCAGCCAGCCTGTTTTCCTGAGTCCCACACAAGCTCAATCCCAGACCATACTTTTTCCCCCCTCCAATAAACATGTTTATTTAAACAATAAAATATAGGACAGATACAATCACAGAATATACGAAAGCATTTTGAGTGGAAAAAAGCACTTATGACCGAAATGGATTGAAGGGCTCTTACGTAGGGAAAGTTCTTGGATTCGTAATTACAATGCCAATAACAAAGCACATTGATTTTCTTTGGTTGTTACTAGGCCATCAAGATCCTTTTTTAAGAAAAATTAGAGTTCATTTCTGAGAGTTTTAGGTTGATAGCAAAATTGAACGGAAGGTAGAGAGTTTCCATATTCTCCCTCGAACACACACAGCCTCCCCCACTATCAACGTCCTACGGCAAAGTGGCCTATGTGTTGTAATGGATGAACTCACACGGTCACATCATTGTCACCCAAAGTTCATAGTTTACACCAAGGTCCACGCTCGGTGTTGTGCATTCTGTGGGTTTGGACAGATGCGCAATGATATGTATTCACCATTTTAGTATCATACACGGTAGTTTCACTGCCCTAAAAGTCCTCCGGGCTCCAGCTATTCAACCCTCCCCCCCCCATACATATTTTTATTAAAAATATTTTGTAATGTTTATTTATTTTTGCAAGAGCACGCACACGCACACAAGAGGGGGAGGGGCAGAGAGAGAGAGGGAGACACAGAACCCGAAGCAGGCTCTAGGCTCTGAGCTGTCAGCACCGAGCCTGATGTGGGGCTCGAACCCACGGACTGTGAGATCATGACGCCGAGGCAGTCAGCCGTAACCGACTGGCAAAGACCAGGCTTGCAAGCCTCATATGCTTTTTAAACACCAAATGCTATTTGAACCTGCTTGGGATCCTTTAAAAGGGGGTCAGTGGTGCCTGAAACTAACTCCTTCCTATAGCTCACAGAAAACCTCCTGAGGGGGCCTCTTCCAGCCATGGAGCAGAGGCCCCCTTGGGGTTTGGGGTTGCCAGAGAAGGACGGAAAGTTAGGTAGTGGCAGGAAGGGTGGGGGAGCAAAGCGGCAGTCACATTCCTACCCTAGGCCTGGCTGGACGTGGTACCTGTCTCAGCCATGTCTACACATCCCCCTCCCCCCCAGGATGGCCCTCACGGAGGAACAGCAGGTGATGTTTGAGAAACTGACTCTGTATTGCGACAGCTACATCCAGCTCATCCCCATTTCCTTCGTGCTGGGTGAGCTCCCCCTTCTGAACGTCGGGGTCCCAGGGGCTGCTCCAGGCTCCAGACTGGCGGGGACTGGGCTTCTAGGAAACTAGCTGGTGAAGGCCACTGGAATGTCAGTGCCTCTTGGCAATTCAGAGAAATGGGGGGACTGCCCCCAGACGGAATGAAGTTAGACATTAGGAAGGACGTCCTGCTGTTGGCACTCAAGACCCCAGTTTCTGAGGGCAGCCCTGGCAGTCCTGGAGCCTGTGCGCCAGGAGGAAGGGAGGTCTGGCAGATTTCTGCCAGGATTGTTGTGGGGAGGCCTCTGGGAGCAAGAGCCTGGGGCTCTTGGCCTTCTCTGTGATGGTCTTCCCCTGCTGAGTGCATGGCCTTCCCCAGGAGGGGGGGGGGGGGGGTTTGAGATTGGGCGCTCCCATCACAAAGATGGAGAAACCAGGCGTCGCCCTTGTTTGGCTCTGGCCGCAGCCTGGGCCCTCGCCTCGCCCCCCTCCCCCTTCTCCTGCCCAGGCTTCTACGTGACGCTGGTCGTGACCCGCTGGTGGAACCAGTACGAGAACCTGCCATGGCCCGATCGCCTTATGAACCTGGTGTCGGGCTTGGTGGAGGGCAAGGACGAGCAAGGCCGGCTGCTGCTGTTTTCCGCTGTTATGTCGCTCATCCGCTACGCCAACCTGGGCAGCGTACTGATCCTGCGCAGCGTCAGCGCCACCAGTCCCATGCTGGCTTTCCCAGTTCAGCATCCCAGACTGGTGAAGCAGCATCTGGTGGGCAGGGCCAGCAGGGGGCTGGCGGGCTGGCAAGTGGGGCGGGGCAGGGACGGTGGGTGGAGCCAGAGGCCTGCCTGCTGATGATTGGGTGGGGATGGGGTCGACACCTGGGTCGAATTGGGCGGGGCGGAGTCAGGTGCGCCAAGGTGGGTGGGGTGAGGCCCGGGGAACCACGCGAGGACAGGGTTTTGAGATATGGCTAAGGGACCCTTGAGGGATGAGAGAAGAGTGGGGACTGAGGGCCCCGAGTGGGGCTTTGGGAATCGGCAAGAAAGTACCGGTCTGCCTGCCTCTGTCCTTCCCCGTCCAGCTCTGCGGGTTTTTAGTCTCTGACCTTCCCTGGCCCTTACCTGAGCTGGTCTCATTAAGAAGACAGACACTTCTCACGTGCTCAGGCCAGAACAGCACATAGTAGGCACTCAGTAATTATTTGTTGAAAGAGGATGGCAAAGAAGCTCAGAGGTCCCAATGAACTTGGCCCTAAATCCTGGGCTTCGTCAAGGCCTGGCCTGGCCACGCCTGCCAGCCCGTCCCTTCTGCAGGTTCCCCCACCCGCTGCCTTCTTAACTCCACCCCGCAGGCTTTATGACCCCCGCGGAACGCAAGCACTTAGAAAAGCTAAGCTTGCCGCACAACACGTTCTGGGTGCCCTGGGTGTGGTTTGCCAACCTGTCAATGAAGGCGTGGATCGGAGGTCGAATCCGGGACCCTGTCCTGCTCCAGAGCCTGTTGAACGTGAGCTTCCCGACACAGATGGGGCTGTTGCAGAGTGGGGACGGTTGTGCCCGAGGTTGCACAAAGTTTCATACAAAGAGGAGGCTTGAGGGTCTTCCCAGAACCTGCCTTGAGATTGTAGGATTTTGTCCAACAGCATTCCACAACCCACCGTGGCCCCTGGCCCCCAGTTCCCTTCCCACTTCCTCTCCAGAGTGAGCCCTGGAGATCCTGGTTCCTTTTTGATAGATGAGGAGGCTGAGGCACAGAGAGGTTAAGGGAGCTGCCCATGACCACACAGCCAGGGCTGGACCATGAGGGCTTGAGCTTGGGAGAGCACACGGTGGTCAGAACCCCAACCCTCCCTCCTGCTCCCCAGGAGATGAACGTCTTGCGTACTCAGTGTGGACTCCTGTTTGCCTATGACTGGATCAGTATCCCACTGGTGTACACACAGGTGAGGACTAGGCCAGGGAAACTGCCCATTTGGGAAACGAGGTGGAGGGTGCTGGTAGGACTTGGAGAAACAGCCTGTCATAGGAAGGGCTCACTTAGGGGCTAAGAGGCTCCCCTGGGAGTTAGATCTGGACTTTGCGGGTCCTCTCCAGTGCCAAGTTGGAAGAGTCCGGGCTCCTGCCTGGTTCAGCCCAGCAGAGGCAGTGTGATCATCCCTATTTTATTTTATTTTTTATTTTTTTATTTATTTTTTTAACACGAAATTTATTGTCAGATTGGTTTCCATACAACGCCCAGCACTCATCCCAACAGGTGCCCTCCTCAGTACCCATCACCC